CACTGTGGTTATTATTGTTATCACTATCACAGTTATTGTTACTTCTTCGGTTGGTTCTGCTATCAATATAGACTTCACGCTTATATCACCAATGCCAAAGTCCCTGCTGTCTGTTAGAATCCATATATATTCATTTTATATATCAATGCAGCTATTAGAAATAAGATTTTATGGCACCAACTTCCTTTCATCCTTATCACTACCATGGACCCTGACAGCATTATCAGTATCATTACCTTGATTACCATCGTCACTAATACCAGTCAACCGAACACTCATTATCAGTCAGTATCCAAATTAGTTGGGGATATTTGTGCAGATCTCCGTTGTGACTTTGTGATCTCTTTTTATGGATTTACAACATATGTTATCCCTATGTCAGTGGTGGCTTATAACTGTTGTTTATTAGAATGTATGATATATATATATATATATATATATATATATATATATATATATATATATATATATATGTGTGTGTGTGTGTGTGTGTGTGTGTGTGTGTGTGTGTGTGTGTGTGTGTGTGTGTGTGTGTGTAAATACATATGTATGTATGTATGCATGTATGTATATATGTATGCATGAATGAATTAATGTATATTTCTTCTTTCTTCTGATTTCATATGACGTTTTCACCTAAACGGAATTTATCAAAACGTTTCATCTTCATTCATTTTACATGACATAAACCGGAACGGTAATTCGCATAACCTGTAATTATTCAAGTCAGTATTTTTTTTTTTTTTTTTTTTTTTTTTTTTTTTTTTTTTTTAATATGGACAGTCAGTACGAACATTTTAGAATTTACGGTTATCATAGGAAGGAATTGGTGAACTGGATAACCGTTTCTTGAACTTTTATGTATCATTTTTTTTTTCTCTTTATGAACTTGCCTTTCGTTAATTTAAAAGGAAGTTGTAGCAGCATCATTGTTATTATCAACATTGCTTTGTGATTATAATTATCTCTTTGCATTTGTACTCAGTGGTAAGGAAATAAGTAAATGTTTTATCCCTGTTATCATAATGTTGTCATATACATCCTTCGTGTCATTTATCACTCCCACAGATATAAGATCATAATTCTATTTGCATCCACGTTAATCTTAAGAAAGAGAGAGATTAAACAAAAATGGAAATGAAGTCACACCTCGTCAGACTAGAATTAGCATATAGACTAGCATAATTTGCGGGGCTTGTATAGGATATAAATTGACGTGTTCAGAATGTAATTATTTTTTTTCTTTCAAGTCATTTTTTTTAACACGCGGACTAGGGTGGACTTCAGAAAACATGTGAGTTTTCTTTATTTTTCAATGTGTTTCTTTTTTCCACGTTTCTTCCTCGCTTTCTTCTTCATTTTCCAATCTCTCTTCTTCTTTTTTTTCTTCCTATTCTTCATTCATCTCATTATCATAATTATCATTATTATTATTATCATTATCATTATTTTTATTATCATCAGTAATATTACCATCATTATCATCATCCTCATCATTATCATCGTTATCATTATCAGTATTACTATCATTATTATCATTACTATTACTATTATTAGTAGTTTTAGTACTATTAGTAATCTCCTTCTTCCTCTTCTGCTTCTTCTTATTCCTATTCTGAAAATTCCATACTCTTTTTCTTCTCTTCTTCGTCTTCATTTTCTTCTTCATTTCTTTATTACTATTATCATCAATGCTATTATTCTTATTGTTAGTATTGTTATTATTATCATTATCATTGTTATCATAATTAGTATCATTAACATTATTGTTATCATTACCATCATTATCATTATCATATTTTTTTATTATTGTCAAAATCATTATTATTATTGTTGTTGTTGTTGTTGTTTTCATTATTTATATTTTTACTATCACCATTATCATTAGTCTAGTAGCAGTAGTAGTATGAAACAATAATAATAATCAAACTGATAGCAATAATAATAGTAATGACAAAAGTAATAATATATATAGTAATAATGATAATGATGATGATAATGATATTAATAACAATAATAATAATAATAATGATAATAATGATAATAATGATAATAATAATAATAATAAATAATAATAATAATAAATAATAAATAATAATAAATAATAATAATGATAATTATAATAATAATAATAGATAATAATAATAATGACAACAAAAATAATAATGATAATGATGATAATGATATTTACAAGGAAATAATGATAATGAAAAAATAATGATAATGATTATAGTACTGATAATAATGATGATGATGATGATGATAATAAAATAATGATTGCAGTAGTGGAGATAAAGATAATAACAGTAATGATAATAACGGCAATAATGATAATAGTAATAATAATAATTATTATTATTATCATTATTATTATCATTATGATAATAATGATAATAATAATAATGATAGTAATAACAATAATAAAAACAATAATAATAACTGTGCTAATGATGATGATAATGATATTAATAATAATAACAATAATAATAATGATGATGTTATATATATAATATAATAATAATAATTAATAATAATAATAATAATAATAATAAATAATAATATAATAATAATAATATAATAATAATAACAATAATAATAATAATAATAATAATAATATAATAATGATGATAATAATAATATATAATAATAATAATAATAATAATAATAATAATAAATAATAATAATAATAATAATAATAATATATAAATAATAATAAATAATAATAATAATAATAATAATAATAATAATAATAATAATAATAATAATGATGATAATAATGATAATATTGATGATAATAATAATAACAATAATAATATTGATAATGATAATAATAAACAACAACAACAACAACAATGATAGTAATAATAATAATAATGATAATAATAATATAATAATAATAATAATAACAATATGTAACAGTAATGATGATAATGATGGTAATCATAATCGTGATAATGATTATTATTATGATACCAATAATAATAATAACAATGATAATGATTATAATAATAATGAGAATAACGGTGATAATAATAATAATAATAATAATAATAATAATAATAATAATAATAATAATAATAATAATAATAATAATAATAATAATAATGATAATAATAATGAGAATAATGATACTAACAATAGTAATGATAATAATATTATTAATGATAATAATGACAACAACAATACTACTACTAATAATAATAATGATAATTACCATTACATTTATCATTATTATCATTATTATTAGTAGTAGTGTGATAATAACAACAACAATAATGGAAATATTGATAATAATAATAGTAGTAGTAGTAATAATAATAATAATAATAATAATAATAATAATAATAATAATAATAATAATAATAATAATAATAATAATAATAACAATAATAATAATAATTATAATAACAATCATGAAAAATAATAATAATAATAATCATGAAAATAACTACAACAACTACAATTATGATAATGATGATAACAACAGCACAAAAGAAAAGGTTGACGTACGAGCGAGCCAAGGAATGGGAACCTAAGGCAGTGGAAGGAGAAAACAATATATAGGCAATTTCTCAGAGACAGACACAACAAAAACAGAAAGTCTGGGAATGGTTAAGGAAATTGGCCCTCTGTGTCAACGGAAATTCATGTCAGAAACAGGTACCTAGGACGCATCATGTCAAGTAAACTATTGACATGACACCCAACTCCCCGTTATACAGAATATAGGGTATAAAACGCAAAAAAAAAGAGGAAAAGGAAGAAAAAAATGTATCATCATAGATATTGCTGCTCGAGGGGTTACAAGAACAAGGACAAGAGGAAGTTTGGAAATTCGAAGATCGTCAACGAGAAATTGCTAAGATGTTGGGAACACGAAAAAGTTGCAATCGTTTTGGTTGTTGTTGGTGCTTTGAAATGTGTGACAAAGAATCTGGAAAGTGGCTGGACACATTGGAAACCGCAAAAGGAACCGAGGTCTTACGAAAGAGACAGGATCGCTCGGTACGCCAAGAATATCTTAAAAAAAGAAACTTGAAACTTAATGTATACAAAGAAGAGCTCAGTGGGAACTTTGGACAAAGGGTTAATAATAATAATACGAAAGAAAAAAATGATGATAATGAAGGTAATATTTGTGATAATAATAACAATGAAATAATAACTCTGATAATAATAGTGATAAAATTAATAATAATAGAAATAATAAATGTTATCATCATTATTATCATCATCCAGATAACAACAATGATAAAAGTAACGATAATAATAACAACAATGATAATAATCAGAATAATAATAATGATAATAATTATTATCATTATGATGAAAATAACAGATGCTAAATATGATGATGGTAATGATAATGATTATTATAATGATAATAAAAATAATGATAAAACGAATACTATTCATAATCATTATTATAATACTACTACTATTAATACTGCTTATAATGATAATAATCTTGAGTAATAATGAGAAAATCATAATGATCATGGTAATAAGGATGATATTAACAGTAATGATGCCACAAACAACAATGATGATGATAACAATAATAAGAAAATTGATAATGATAATAATAACAATAAAGGTAATAGTATAATGAATAATAATATATAATAATGATAATAATAATGATAATAGTAATAATAATGATAATAATAATAATGATAATAATAAAAATAATAATAATAATAGTAATGTTAATAATAAAAATAATGATAATAATGATAATAACAATAACAATAATTGATACTGAAAATTATGATGATAATTTTGATAATACCAATAATAACACTGGTAATAGTAATGTAAACGACAATATTAATACTTATGTAATAATAATAACAATAATAATAATAATAATAACAATAATAAGAAGAACAATAATAATAATAATATACGAAATTATGATGATAATATAAATAATACCAATAATAACAATGCTAATAGTAATGTAATGTATGATGATATAATTGATGATAATTACAAAAAATATAATAACAATCACAATAACGATAATTATAATGGTAATAAAAAAAAAGATAAATGTAACAATATGAATGATACAAGGGCTAGTAATAATTACAACAACAGCAGCAAATGCTAGTAATAGTAACAGATATTATTTCAATAAAGAAGATAATGATAATAAAGATGATAATAATGATGATAATACTAACAAGGACACTATTAATAACACGTTAATAAAAAAGAGTAAATGAAATAATGCTAGCAAAAATCATACTAATAATTACTCTGTTAATCATACAAGTTACGATATCGACAATGGTGGTTAAAATTAGAGACCCACCGTCATATAATTTTTCTAAATTTCAATATAGTAATTCTATCATCTTAAAATAATATATAATCATGATGTCAGTATCACCTTATAAACAACAGTAATTTAAGAAGAGGATAGTACGACTTTAAACAAAATACTGGACGTGTTTTATGCATACCTGGAAAGCCTCTCGGCCCGACGGAACCAGGGGGGCCGGGGGGACCCTCAGGCCCCGGGGGACCAGCGGCGAAACTGTACAGCCTCACCGCCGTGCTCAGCGCCACGATCTGCGAGGGGGGGGGGGGGTCAGGCGGTGTGTAAACATCTAACTTTATCCATTTATCTAGATATATATATAATATATATAATATATATAATATATTATATAGGTATATATATATATATATATATTATATATATATATATATATATATATATATATATATATATATATATATATATATATATATGTACATATAATATATTTTGTTTGTGCGTGCGTGGTGTGTGTGTGCTGTGGTGTGTGTGTGTGTTTGTGGTGCGTGCGGTGCGTATGTGTTGTGTGTGTGCGTGATGGTGTGGAAGCCTAGGTAGTGTTAAGTGTGTGTGTGTGTGAGTGTGTGTGTGTGTGAGTGTGTGTGTGTGTGTTTGTGTGTGTGCGTGTGTGTGTGTGTGAATACACACATATGTATATATATATTTATATATTCATATATATACATAAAAAAAAAAATATATATATATATATATATATATATATATATATATTTATATATTATATATATATATATAATATATATGTATATATATATATATATGTGTGTGTATATATACATACATACATATATATATATATATATATATATAATATATATATATATATATATATATATATATTATATTATATATATACATATACATATATATATATATATATATATATATATATATATATATATATATATAATATATATATACATACATATATATATACATAATATTATATACATATATATATATATATATATATATATATATATATATATATATACATTATACTTGTGTGTGTGTGTGTGTGTGTGTGTGTGTGTGTGTGTGTGTGTGTGTGTGTGTGTGTGTGTGTGTGTGTGTGTGTGTGTGTGTGTGCGTGATGGTGTGGAAGCCTAGGTAGTGTTAAGTGCTTGCATACCTTCTTGCTTGCAGCTGCCACCGATGGCTATCCTAGTGCGAAAATAGGGGGCAGTTCTGCATAAGCCTCCCATGCCAATGCACAGCCTCTCCATCACTGAGATTTCTGCACTGCCTCCTCGTGGCCTCCCATGGAAACTGGGTACTTTGCGGTTCCAGGCTAAATTGTGGATGATCTCGTAGCAGCAGGAGGCTCTAGAGGTACAGGGTCATGGAGCACTGGCATGTGGACAAATCCTGGCCCTGTACCAGCTCTTGCTTCAAAGCCCCTTGGGTTAATGGGAGGCTCAGGGGAGGTGAGCCTTGTCAGTCTTCCTCCCCCCAGATAAATAGGAAGGGAAATGCCCCTCCCACCCTCCAAGAGAGGTGGGCTGCGGGCCCTGTTAGGGGGGGGCGACTGCCAGGACGCAGGAGGGGAGCGGGAACTACTCGTCCCGCCCGCGTTCTGGCAGTCGCCAGCCCAGAGTGAAGCTTATGGAGGAAAGCCCAAGGGAACCCCACAGATGGATGACAGGTCCCGCAGTCTGCCGCCCCCTTTTATATGGAGCAGTGTCGTCGGGGGTGGCAGAGGTGGCGTCCATCCGGAGTGACTGCCCGAGGCTAAACCTCAAGCAGGAAGTCAGGGTGGGGGCTTGGAGCATCCATTCTTAGCATCAGGATGATTAGTTGCTTCTGCTGTCGAGGGAACTGGGGAGGCTGAGAGCTGAGGTGGCTGCTCTCTTGGAGGTGAGAAAACCTGGCAGTGGAACAATCAGTGTAGGTGGCTACACCTATTACTGGTCGAGCCACAGCAACGGTCACCATCTCCATGGAGTAGCCATAGCCATCTCCAGCAGACTCCAGCCCTCGGTAGTAGAGGTTACTCCAGTCGATGAGCATATAATGGTAATAAGACTAAAGATAGCATTTGGCTCTGTCTCCTATTGCTGTGTACTCTCCAACTAGCATCTGTGTCAAACAGTTGTCCCCAGCAAGATACTCGTATTGCTCTGGGTGACTTCAATGCGATATATGGTTGT